CCTGCAGAATGTTCTTTGCAGTCTTTTCTTCTTTGTATGCTTTCTACTGTTAAAAGTTGTTATTATTTTCTGTTTAATAAATTTTAAAACGTAATTGTAAATTGATTGTGTATTTCTTATTTTCTTCAGAATTCGATTATGATTTTGTTACATGTGGGTCTGCATTAAAAATTTTAAACACAGCTCACAATGCCAGATTACATTCCCATGATGTCAAATATGGATCAGGCAGTGGCCAGCAGGTAAGAATTTTTTGAATAGGCTCATTATTCATACACATCTCTTTTTTTGGTTTCGTATAATTTGAAACATGATTTTTTTTTTAAAGTTCAATGTTTAGAGATATTTTGTTCTCAGTAAGTCTTTTACAAATTATAATTTGCCCACCGCAACACAGACACATCATTTTCTTTAATGCAGAAAGCTCATGGGGCTTTTTTTTTTCTTTTCGTGTGCATTTCTTGTCAGTTTCTTAGGAAAATTACATTGCTATTGGCTATATGACACTAATTATCCATTGTACTTTTTTATTCCCCCTTTCTTGCTGCATCCAACTAAGCAGTGTAGCAGGGCTCTAGCTAAACTTGAACTTCAATATATTTCTCACCCAGCCAATTTTTTTTTTTTTTTTTTTGCATTTAAAATAGATATCTTGTTTTGTTCTCCCATTCACAGATTTAAATTATAGAGAAAAAAATAGCAATATAATAAAATAATATACAGCGAAAAGTAAAAAAAAAGCAATATAATGAAATAATATACAGCCAAATATCAAAACTTAACAAATTAGTAAGAAGATCCTGCATTTTCACTTACATATCATTTCTAAAATGGTTGTATGCATTGTAATTAGCTTCCTATTGGGGCTTATTAAATGTCATTGCATTGTATAACACTGTAAACTGCATATCTGATGAAAGCTAAACTGTAAGTTTCAATTTTCATTCATACTGTTTTACTATCAATCTATGTGTAAACATTTTTTCTACCTGCATAGAAGAAAACTAACCCCAACCAGCCAAATAGTAATCTTTCACCATCTGCTCAATAAACTAAATAGTCCACTAGACCACATGAGCTTACATTACCTTTACCTTTTTTTTTATTCTGCCATCACATCTGGGTATCATTAGATTTAAAAAAAAATTTTTTTGGTTGTTATGAATTTTCTATAGAATAATTGTTGTGCTTTGACATGGACACATAAATAAACATACTTCTTTCAATAATTCAAAAGATGCCATGGATCATTGAATAACAGAAGTATAAATTTAATAAAAGCAATCAGAATAACTGGCTTTGAATATTAAACTATTAAATATGCATGACGGTGAAACTGACTTCTATAGTGCTTATATACGATTAGACTCAAACTCAACCCTTTGTCAACAATAACAATCTCTCAAGAGTCGTCATTAAACTTTAACTAATAGACTAATGAAATAATAAGAAATAAATAGAATTTGTTATATCTTAAACCAAAATTCTATTTACAAGTGCTATTTGCAATACTATATACAAATTCAATCATCATAATAACACCTGAAATTTTTTTTATCCAGTCAGTAACAGGAGTTGACTCTTCTGATGATCACAACAGCTATTGGCAAGTGATGGCTAAGACAGGTACACTTTGCACTAGGGGGTATGTATTTATATTATTTAATAGCCAATTTTTTATATGCTAGCAATAACATAAGTTAACATGTTTTTTGTGTGCAGTCTAGTAGTTTAGATTTAGTTATTGTTGTTAGATAATTATTATGCAGAAATTATTTTTTTTTTGGACTTAAAGTGAAAAATTTCTTCTATGGCGCATTAAAAAATTATTATTTTTTTCGCATGTAGACAAAAATTTAGTTTAAATTTTAATTCCTGTCAAAATGCTTAAAATGTATTGACATTAGACATGTTTTTTCAAAACTTTGATGATTTGCTAAACTTTTTATTACAGAAACCCTGTTAAATGTGGTCAAACAATAAGGCTTATGCATGTCGCAACCAAACGAAATTTACACAGTCACCATTTTCAGTCACCCCTTTCACATAATTTAGAAGTGAGTGCCTTTGGGGAGGATGGCGAAGGAGATGAAGGTAATGCCTTTACAGTTAATCTGTAGCACAGTCTTTTTTTTTTTCAATGTAAATATTTTTTTTTTTTTAAATTTGTAATATTATATATAATTCATTAAACCAATCTAATAGCTTAAGTATGAAATAGTTGTATTTGTACTCAGTTTAGCACTAGCTGATAACTATAATTGATTGTAGGTGGTACTTTCTATTTTTATTAGTACAATATCATTAACCTTCTTTAACAACAAGATATTTAGTTTCTTTTTAAGGCTTATTGGATATTTAGCAGCATTTTAGCAAAACACATTTTCTGGAGCAAGTTGTAAGAAAACAACTCAATAAATCAACAAAGAATTGAAAGACACATTAATTTACTAATGATTTTAAAATGTTTTATTTAGACACAAATATTTTGAAAACTAATGTGGTTATATATAGGTTTGATAAAGGAAATATATTTTGTTTTTCCCAACATAACATTAAAACAAACACTTTAGAGGCCTTGTAAAATTGAAGTAAATCATACACCACAGAATGGATATCTTCAACTTTAAACTGTTAAAAAATAGAATGTGACATTGTCAAGTTATTCAAGGATACTTTCATAAAGACACATAGTGTAGACTAGCTAAGTTTATTTGTAATTCTCTGCGCAATCTCCATAGCAATGAGCTCTGGCAGTGAGGCTGATTTCTTGGTAGAGACGACATTCAATGACCATAAGGTGCAGCAAGGACATAGTGGTGTGACAGACGTGGCTTATTTGCAGATGTAGAGAGAGAGAGGTTTGGGGAGAACAAAGAAGAGTCAGTTGTAGAAAAAATCTTGTTGAGTGCAGTTGTAGAAAGAATGTTGTCCAGTGAAGTTGTAGTTTTTGAGTTGTAAAACCAGTACTATAATTGCATCTAATTTTATTACGAGCTTGAACGAAGATAGTTAACTTATGTATTTTTATTGTACATTGTGTATTTTTAAGTGATTCCTAGCTCCAGAATTAAATATTTGTTTTTATTGTTGAAGAGTCTTCTTTGTTTTAATTAATAGTTATATTTGAATTTCCAGCATGAAGATCTTATTTTAGTGTTCAGTAATTGTTTGAAATAGAAATCTACATTAAATTGTTACTTCAAAAAAATGCATTGTCTGATCAACACAATCTTATAGTAACCTCAAGAAATCTTTTCATCAAAACAAATGATCTTCACATCTAGCACTCAAATATAGAAATAAATGGCTTTACATTTTTTTTTTAAATCACCTAAGAGAGCAGTCTGAACGTTAAAAATTTTAAAATAACTGAAACTTTGATTTAATCATGTTGGATATAGTGATATTCTACTTTCATCTATCATGTCAATAATAAAAAAAACTGTACATATATTATAATGGCTGAGGATTGTTATATAATAAGTTAATAATTTTATTACAGGAGACAATTGGGTAATTGTTTGCAATGGTAAATACTGGAGTAGAAATGAAAGAGTCAGATTTAAGCATGTCACCACAGAATAGTAAGTTGCATAAGTTTCTAATTATAACTTTCTTATACTTTTAGTAAAAATGTGTTGGGTTGTGTTTCTCAAAGCAATTTAATTTCAGTTTAATTCATCTTATAATTGATGTAGTCAGAAAATCCAAAAAAAATGAATTAAACTAAAAGTTAATAAATCAGTATGTCACTTGTTATGTTATAATGATAAATAAAGAGGTGAGGTTGTTGTTTTTTTTACACATTGTCAAACAATTTTATTATGTATCAAACCAAGACAATGTTGGCTATTTGGTATGTTAATAAACAACAATATGCAATTGACCATATATTGAAATACAGCATGTGTTGCTTTGTTTAATCATTATGCAATCAAGTGATATATTCAATAGAAGATTAAGTGGGTTTTCATTTTATTTGATTTTTTTTAAAAGGCATTTCTCCATAATATTCTGGTTCCAACTCATTAAAGGTGAGGAGTATCTGGGAGAAATGTCTGTGCTTGAGAGGCACAACTCATCTCAAATAAAATTTTGAATTAATAATTCCTCTGTAAGGAATTCATCCTAAAAACACCAGTTTAGCAGCGAAAAAAGTTTATGCCACTTAAAAACATCCCCCCATACATATATATATATATATATTACATTTTCAGCTATTTACACATGTCTGGAGACACCTATGGACGTCCCATTCATGGCCAAAGAGAAATTAGTGCCTATTCAGGCATTAGTGACCTTAATTCATGGCAGGCTGCAGAAGGCATCTACATTAAACCCACACAGTCAAAATCTCGTACCGCTGTCAGTGAAGATAATGATGATGACAGTGATGACGATAATGAAGACAATGCTAAAGATAGACCTCATGATGAATTTTAACGCTATAAAGTCTAGATTTAAGTTTACGTTTCAATGGCTTTGTTTTTTTAAATGTTTATCTAAACAAGCAGCTCGATGTCATTGTATTATTATTATTCCTATGTTTATATTTAGCTTTTTTAAATTGAAAATGAACCTAAAAATTAGAGGCTACTATATGCTCTATTAGTGTGTTTTGTCTAAATAATTGGAATTCTTGGAACATTTTATTGTCTAGTTCACTTAAGCCTCATTAGCTTTGCCTCTTCTTTACCTTAATGTGATATATATATATATTTCGCCCATCCTTAAAATGAAAATAACTTAAAACCATCAGATAATGCAACACTGTAAACCTAACATGGCTATTCATAGAAATTTCACATATTTCTTGATTTTTGCTGACTCCCTAGCTACATTAGCTACAGGTTATCATTAAAATTGTCATGTGAGGAAGTAGTGCTGTGGACCTGCACCCTGAAATTTTACTTTTTGTATGTATTTTTGTGGAACTAGTAATATCCCTTAGATTATCTATATCGTCAAAAATTATTATACCACCTGAAAAAAAAAACATTCTTGTAATTGTGATGTATATTCATTTCTCACATCAAGATGTTAGTCTGGTTGGGTGTGCTTATTGTTGAGCTGAATGGATGAAATCAAAGTATGGGTACACTTTGTTCATATTATATCTGGTGCTTTGCTGCAAAATGTATAATTCCCAATGCAGTTTTTGTATGGACTGAAAGACACACATTATTAAGGTGTCTGTGCACATTACCCACCAGCACTGTATAACTGGAGCTAGGGATCTTAAATATTTTACAACCACTTAACAATATGGCATACTTCTTTCTGTGCCAGATATGTTTCAGTTTTGTGACCAGAACAAAAGACATTAAATTATTAATTAGTTAATACAATGTTAACTGTGTTCTTTTTCATATTTAATAGGTCAGAGTTCATCTGTTCTTTCTTACTTCAAATGTTTTTTTTTTTTTCTACTTTGCAGATTAGTTTTATTTCAAAACTTAATTATTAATCTAAGTGCTTTGTTTTTTATACAATGATTATTCCTTTAATTTTGTTTCTAAAAAGTATGTTTTTAATTGCTGATTGCTTTGAACTTGAGTGTTTGACATGATTGGGAAATAGTAGTGTGAAAATACTAAGATTGGTTTAGAATGAATGGCACTGATTATCAGATGAAAATATAAAGTTCTTTGTCAATGTTGTATTTTGGAATTAAAGAAATAAGGGAGTGGTACGGTTATTCTTAACTGTTGGCAACATATTTTCTGATATTTTTTTTTATGCAAATCTTTTTGGTCATCTATGCTTGTATTTTGTATATTTGCTTTTGATACACATCCATTAACTAATGTCAAACCTTATCTTAACAAGCTTACTTGTTCTTTGTCTGACAGTTTAAGTATTATTATGAAGCTTATTTATTTTTTTTAAAAATCAACAGTTAGTATAAGTATAATATATATTTAACAACAGTTGGCATTCTGTTGCTTAAATTTAGACTTTAGAAAAATTAAATTATGAAGGTTTTGACTAGATTTATCTGTCATTCTTGTGTTGCATTCTGAATTTTGTTGTTGTTTATTTATAGTCTATGACTTAGATGTTTAGATATAGCCAACCTTTAAGAATCTCCATTGCTTTTTTTTTTTTTAAAGAAAACAGTTTGTTGGTTTTTAGACTTTTAACAAAAAGTAAATCCAAAATACATGTATGTTTAATGGTTCATTTGTTGTTTTTTCAAATGGAAATTGAAAAATAAATTATGAAAAATTTTCTACTGTTTTGTAGTATTTATCATTCATTCATTCATACACTACTGTCCTCATTTTACATTACTGGAAGAAAGAAATGGATAACTGCTAGTGACAGTAGACTCACTAAGCCATCACTGAAAATTCAGCAGATGCTAACTCATCAACAACTTCCAGGGGGAGGGGGGGGGGGTAAGTCTACTCGACCAAAACTACAATTTTTACATAATTTATAAAAACAAAATTAAAACTTTTTTAGTACAGCGATTTATTTAATTTTAAAATGGAATAAAAGCATATACTCCAACAGTAAACCATGGGTGAATGCAAAAAAAAAAAAGGGGGGAAAATCATCAAAAAGAAAAGAGCATATATGAGTGGCAACAGGCAGGAAAGGAAAATAGCACATGGTAATGTCCGCGTCTTTCTTGAGGAAGGGAGGAGAAACTACCGCATCAAGCTGGAGGACTCGATAAGTGACATGAGACAGGCGTGGGGTATCATGAACAAAATGTCAGGAGCACAAGTCAAAAGTAAAAATAATCTTGCTACAAGAAACGACAAAACATTATCCAACGAGCTAAATGATTTCTATTGTCGTTTCGACACTAACGATTTTGATTATCTAAAAGCACTCGAAGATGTCAAAGTTAACGACTGTTTAGAATTAGCGATTACTAAAGAGCAAGTCTGCAATATTTTCAAAAACGTCAACCCAATGAAAGCTGATAGCATACAAGGGGGAATCTTAAAAGAATGTGCTGAACATTAGCTGAACCTTTCCTAGAGATTTTTTTCACTTCATTACTAAACCACGAGATGCCATCTATGTGGAAGTCTTCTATAATTGCACCTGTGCCAAAGGTTTCCAAACCAATGGAAATGAATGACTTTAGACCTGTTTCATTTACTTCCATTATGTCTAAATGTTTAGAAAAACTGGTGCTTTTTTCTGTCTCATGATCCAATCAAACACCAACAAAAAAGAAAAACAAATCACGGGCGAAAGCATAGGCCTACATCCTTGTCTGTTTTTACTAGAATGAATTTGTAAGCTTACAGTTGTGTATTACTAATTGGTATGATAACCCACAGTACAACTGTTTAATGATGTTGGTGAACTTTGCTGGAGCTCCTTACTGATTATACTGGCGAAGGTCTTCTCAAAATCCATAAAGGTCATGTACAGAGGGGACTGGCATTCAATGGATTGTTATATGAACCAGCCGGTTCTAGTCATAATCTTTTCTTATATAATACAGACGTTACTTCAAAAAAAGAAGATGATTACGTCCTACGCGTCATGCATTTAGTCATGCATATTAACCAATGACATAAATTCTGCCAAGTCACTGGTTTTTCTGGCTATCTCAGGCAACCAATATCATGTTCTGATAGCGCTAGGGAAGAAGGAGCATTTGTACAAATTTATCCTAGCATATGGAACGAGGAATGTGTCTTTATCTTTGTGTCTTTATGAGTATTTTATTAAATTGTTTTTGTATTTGAAGATTATGGTTTTATGTATAATTGCTACTTTGGTCTAGGGCATCTTTTAGACGTTCCAGTATTATCTTCGTTGTTGCACTGGGTAAGGTTATCCTTTCTTGGGTATCTTGACTAGGTAACCCAGCTTCCAGATTATAGAGACCTGTATTCCTACTTGTTCTTGAATCCTGCAAGCAGCGGATGTAGCATTTCAGCTGATGTTTTGGGCTCTACCTTACACTTCCACCGGTATATAGGCCCATACCTGGACCTTCCGCCTTTCTATTTTTTTTTTTCACTTTGTGCCATGTAAATAATGCACCAATAATGTGTGGTGCGCATGGTATTAAACGGAAGATCAGTCTAGAAATCTAAATCGACCACCGGCATATAATGGTTATGTTTTTCGTTGGATGTGACAAACTATGTGTGCTGAGTAGCCACGTAAAATACTTCGCTCCCCCTTAATCATCGGACTCGAAGACAACGCTTGTATAAAGGTATCAAGGAAACCTGCTTCCAGATACCCCCTCCCCACACCATAGAGACTGAACCGTAGCGATCTGTTAATGCTATAAGCATGAAAGTTACTCTATTTAAAAAAGTTATTCAATTATTACAATGCAATTCATAAATATTTAAAGCTTTTTGTTTTGTATTAACACTTACAAACACTTCATAGATTCATTTACTATAAAACGATTGAAGAAAAAAAAGCTGGAAAACTATTTGCAGAGGTATGTTTGGTTCATAGACATAAATATATGGTTTGGTTATTGTGTTTCACACTTTAATTGTGGAGAGCCGTGTAAGTGACTTTTACTTAGTTGACTAAGATAATAGAGCCTAATGTTTAATTAGGTCTATTGATTTATTAAAAGTTATTCATGTTTGCAAAGAAATATTTTAATTTACTGTTGTAAGCCCAGTGACGTATAAGCGCTTTTTTTTTTCCCTTTGAAGTCATGAAAAATGTTCATTCATGAAACATTTCAGCCCAAAATAATTTTTCGATTTTGAAACATTTTCAAACCGATATAACGGTCGACACCGAGTTTTCCCCTTGTGGCTAATGAGTTGAGAATTTTGTTCTCATTTATATACACATACCTTGATTTAAAAAAAAATCGTTAAAGCCGTTTTCGAAATAATTTTTGTAAATTTAGATTTCTCTCTCTCTCTGTCCATCGCGACGAGAAGCAATTGAGGAGTAAAGTTATTGGCAGTTTTGGCAGCGTTTGCATTTTTTGTTTGATCAACCGTCGGGATGCACGGACCGCAAGGATAAACTTACCAAAGTGTAGGCCTACAGTAGGCCTAAATAGTTTGTGCTCATGTATGGGTGACGTGGTGCACTATTTCTTTTCTTTAATATTCTTTGTAATATAAAAGTTGCAATTACGACTTAATTGAGCCAAGGGTGGCGACTTGCACCCCCCTGCAAAAAATCCTGCGGGCGCCCATGTAGGCCTATATATATATATGGCTTCAGTAAGGCATGCTTTTCGGCAGGAATTCTTTCTTGTCTGGGTGCTTTCCCACTGTTGCACATGTCAATGGTTGCGCTTTTTTAAGGGTATCAAATGCAGTAAGAATATATATAAGAATAGATACATGCACACGCCACACATGTAAGAATTACTCTCTTATTATAAGGATTTGGGTTTTTCTTTACACCAGAAGCCAAGATTAAACATAGCTATAATATATGTAGGTCTGTGATGTAAGCCTTGTATCATCCTTTTGTAACTTTAAATAAGGAGTATCCTAACTTCCTCGATGTTGGAAACAAGAGTGGTGGAACGTGCGCGTGCTGTTTTAAAATTGTTTACTAAACAAAATAATAGTCTCTCCGTGTAACTAGATTAAGATCTAGAGAATCTTATCTAAAGTCTACTTTAAATAGAAGATCTAGATCTACATCGACAACTAGACTAGACTCTACCTATTCTAGACTCTACTCTAAGTACTCTAGACCTACACTACTATTACTAGTACTTACTTACTACTAGTCACTAGGCTACTGTTTGTGTTACAGTTACAATTACTTACAGTGACAGTCAGATTCTGAAACTTTTGAAAGTGCAGTGAAACTGTAACTATTAGTACTATTACTATTAGTCTATTATTGTTAGTTAGTTAAACTAACTCAGTCCTCAGTAACTGAGTAATTCTACTTTGTTTTGTACCTCTCTTTTGAAGTTCGTAGATCAAAAGTAAATCTAGATTAGCTAGATTGCTTATACTTATATAGATCTTGTTATAAATTGCCAGATCTATCATCTACTCTAGACATCAATAATCTTAGTATTCTTAGTCTATACTAAGAAATTTTTATGCAAATGACTACACTGTCTACAGGGATGGGTAAGTTTTAAATTTAAAGTTTTTTTAACTAGATCTAGATTTAAATTTAAATTAGATATTAAAAAAATATGACCAATATTATGTCAATTACTTCAATTACTTAGAATTAGATCTAGCTATGAGATATGTAAAATGTAATTACATGATCTAGAATAATCTAGATTTCTAGATCTATATAATTGTAATGCGATCTAGAAATCTAGATATATTATAGTCTATTAGATAGATATGAGTGTTTCTCCAGTACTGGTATAAAAAAGTGTCACATTAGGTCAAAAATTAAAATGGAACTAAGCAATGAGCTAGCCCCAGTGTTCAAAATACTCTTTCAGGCATCGCTTAATCAGGGCAGAGTACCAAAGGACTGGAAAGAAGCTAATGTCACCCCCCTATTTAAAAAAAAAGAAAAATCTGATCCAGGAAACTACAGACCAGTATCACTTACCAGCATCACATGTAAAATCCTAGAACACATAATATGTAGCAACATCATAAACCACTTAGACTAACATAATGTCCTCACCCCATACCAACATGGCTTTAGGAAATATAGATCATGTGAAACACAACTAATAGAACTAATTGATGATTTTTCAAAAGGTTTAGATAATAGTGAACAAATAGATGCTATCTTACTTGATTTTTCCAAGGCTTTTGACAAAGTTCACCACCATAGTTTGCTTAAAAAATTAAAATATTTCGGTATTAATGGTCCACTGCATCGGTGGATTAAATATTTTCTGATAGGGAGAGAACAAATTGTAATAATAAATGGCTCTAAATCAACACCAATAACAGTAAACTCAGGTGTATCTCAAGGAACAGTCTTGGGTCCACTACTATTTTTAATTTACATAAATGATTTACCAAATTGCATTAGTTCAGGAACAAAAGTCAGATTATTTGCAGACGATTGCATAATATATAGAACAATAAAAACAACACAAGACACAGATATTTTACAAAGAGAATTAGATGAATTACAGAAATGGGAATCAAATTGGAGCATGTCTTTCCACCCAGAAAAATGTCAGTTGTTAAGAGTAACAAAAAAACTAAAACAAATTAATTCCACTTATCTTATTCATGGCAAACCAGTAACACAGACTAAAAACGCAAAATACCTAGGTGTTATAATAAATAAAAAACTGTCATGGAATCCACATATTG